TACAGGACAATAAAAACAAGGATCTCCGGACGCGCTACAAAGTGCTGGTGATCACCTTTAAAGCCCGACATGGCATTGGACCTGGATATCTGAGAGACCGCCTCCTGCTACACACCTCCCAACGTCCGATAAGAACTCACAGGCTAGGCCTCCTCCGGGTGCTGTCGACCGGACAATGCCGGCTCACGACCACTCGGGGGAGAGCCTTCTCTGTAGCTGCTCCGGCTCTGTGGAACGAGCTACCAGCAGAGATCCGGACCCTCCCCACTCTCGTGGCCTTCCAAAAAGTGACCAAGACCTGGCTGTTTTGACAGGCCTCGGGTTGCTGATTTTTAAATCTGGTTCAACCCCCAGTTAAAGCCAAATGTATGTTGTGCGTGTATGTTCTCTCCCCTGTGTGTAATTTTATTTTATCTTCGTATTTGTAAGCTGCCCGGACTCCTCCGGGATTGGGCGGCATATAAGCTTATAAAATTGCGAATTGCGAATTGGATAAACAGGCTGAAAAACAGCTTCTATTCTAGAGCAGTAACTATAATGAATTCCTCGGTATAGTGCAATATTAATGCAATATGGGGTTTTCAATTTCAATTATATAGCATATGAAGGATGTGTGTTTGTGTTTTTATTGTTCTAGTTATAATGTAGTTATAAACACTCTTTGAGTGTTTTACGGTTGCCAACCCCTGTCCTAGGGAGAACCTTTCTCCTTTAGGAAGAGGAAAACTCACCTTTTTGGCGAAGTAATAGTGTGGCACTTCCATTCCCAGAAGAGACTGGTAAGTTGTTGGCAATAGAAAACTGTCTTGGAGCAGAAGACCATGCTCTTCGGTGCTGAAGAAAGATACTACCAGCACATCCACCTGGAAGGGAAATGGAGCATGATTTGGGCTTTATGTCGCAATATCCTTCAGTAGGTTTGCATTTATTTTCCTTTTCTGTTGGCAGGGGTTGCAGTTAAGAAACTGAAGCACCTCTGCTGCAGATGGCTGAGCTAAGCCCTTTCTCTCCTTTGGTAGACCATAATGCGCAATGTTCTATATGCAAAACTGGGCACCTCTGCCAATTAGGAATCGCACGCTTTGCAATTAATTGGGAAAATTAAATCTGAATTCCATCCACAGATAGTCCTCGACTTACAACCATTCGATTGAGAGACTGTTCAAAGTTACAACGGAAGCATTTACAGGCAGATGCTGTCACCTAAAGATGAGGGAATGGCATTGCATTCCAGCACAGGGGAATTATTCCTTTGGCAGAGCCTGAAAATGCATTTAAGAATAACAGGAGGAATTCAGGCCAATGTATAAGGTAAAGGTAAAAGTTCCTCTCGCATGTATGTTCTAGTCATTCCCAACTCTAGGAGGCGGTGCTCATTTCCGTTTCAAAGCAGAAGAGCCAGCGCTGTCCGAAGACGTCTCCATGTTCATGTGGTTGGCATGACTCAACACCCAAGGAACATGGAACACTGTTACCTTCTCACCAAAGGCGGTTCCTATTTTTCCACTTGCATTTTGTACATGCTTTTGAACTGCTAAGTTGGCAGAAGCTGGGACAAGTAACAGGGGCTCACTCTGTTAGGTGGCACCAGGGATTCGAACCACCGAACTGCCAACCTTTCTGATCGACAAGCTCAGCGTTTTAGCCACTAAGCCACTGCGTCCCCCTACCCACAGCAGCCAATTTATAATATGCGACATATAAAAAGTTCCTACATTATAGTATACTTCCCACAATCTAATTTTAAATGATTGCTGCCACAGGATTTTGTGGACATTAGTTCCCCCTCCCCCTCAATGAAGAATGACCTGAACGATCTTGAATATCGTTCTTTCCACAATAACAGATTGAAGACTCTCACCGAAGAGGTAGTGATAGATTTTATTTTCCTGGGCTCCAAGATCACTGCAGNGAGGAAGCTGAAACTAAAATAAAAATAAAATAAGACATACGAAGAGCCCCTCACTCCCCCTCCTCTCCCCTATTTCTCACTTCATGGAGTATTCATGGAGTATTTTTCAGCCCTGGATTTCATCCTAACCTTTCCCTCCTTCCTTTGTTTGTCTTTTGTTTCGCAACAGCTGTTATTATCGTTTTTTTGGTCAGCTGTGATTGCTGGAGGCGAAAGAGGACCAGATGGTGTTTTGCGATGCATGAATGGCGAGTTAGAAAAGCCGGGGTTGAATAGGCCAACTCTGAATGGTGTCTATGAACCACCTGCCCCTTCAGCTGCGGATCAGCCTCGCCCGATCTCCCTCGGACCAACCTACAGCCGGGAGAGGCCCGGAGAGCATCGTGGTGGATTTCCACCAGTATTGATCTCCCCTTGCACTAACCACATAATGCGAGTGTACAGTCAATTTGAATTAATTGGATATGACACAGCAAGTACGAGTAATCTATCACAGGGGTTGTCTGGTGTGCTATGGGAATTCCTCCCCTCCCCGTGTCCCAGGAACACATGAATCTGTAACAATATACATTAATTAACTGCGTCGTAAGGAGCAAGCGTGGGGGAATGCTGGCTTTTAAGGGGGTGGGGAATGCCTTGTGGGGCTCACACACTTAAAAAAATAAAGCAAAAACCCCACCTCTATTTATGTGGCTTTGTCTTTGAATAAAATCCACTCAGATCTTCTTCTCACCCTAAAGAACTCCTGTAGAGTGGTGCCACAAACAAACAATAAAATTGAGGAGGAAAGGGCAGCAAAATAGTAATAAATGTAAAATACAAAGACATAATTAAACAGTAAAGAATGAAGCATGCCTGTAGAATGCAGCATGCCGATTACCAACTATACGGGAAAGGGAAGCACATTTTGTTTAAATTTGCGCCCAGGGTACATTTTCAGAATCTTAGAATCAAAGGGGTGAGCAAAATCTACACTTTTATTTCGTCTAGTTATCTGTTTTATTAAACAAAAGGTAAAGGTAAACGTTCCCCTTGCACATATATGCTACTTGCTCCCAACTCTAGGGGGCGGTGCTCATCTCTGTTTCAAAGCCGAAGAGCCAGCGCTGTCCGAAGACGTCTCCATGGTCATGTGGCCGGCATGACTCAATGCCAAAGACGCACGGAACACTGTTACCTTCCCACCAAAGGTGATTTCTATTTTTCTACTTGCATTTTTTACATGCTTTCAAACTGCTAGGTTGGCAGAGGCTGGGACAAGTCACGGGGGCCCCCTCCATTATGCGGCGCTAGGATTCAAACCGCAAAAATGGCGACCTTTCTGATCAACAAGCTCAGCGTCTTAGCCACTGAGCCTCTGCGTCCCTTCACAATGATTGTTATTAAGCATCAAATGGAACCATTCGTTTAGTGCCTGTGTCACTGAAAAAAGCGACTTATGAACCAGAAGACCTCCAAAGTCTCTTCCAACTTTCTTATTCTATGGATGGATGGATGGATGGATGGATGGATGGATGGAAGGAAGGCAGGAAGGACAAAGAAGAGAGGGGAGGAAGGAAGGAAGGAAGGACAAAGAAGAGAGGGGAGCAGGGGAGGGAGGGAGGAAGGACAAAAGAGAGAGGGGAGGGAGGAAGGAAGGACAAAAAAGAAGGGGGAGGGATGGAGGAAAGAAGGAAGGAAGGACAAAGAAGAAGGGGGAGGGATGGAGGAAAGAAGGAAGGACAAAGAAGAGAGGGGAGGGAGGGCAGGAAGAGGGGAAGGAAGAAAGGAAGGAAGGACAAAGAAGAGAGGGGAGGGAGGGAGGGAGGAAGGAAGGAAGGACAAAGAAGAGGGGAGAGGGAGGAAGGAAGGAAGGAAGGACAAAAGAGAGAGCGGAGGGAGGGAAGGAGGGAGGAAGGAAAGACAAAGAAGAGAGGGGAGCGAGTGAGGGAGGGAGGAAGGAAGGACAAAGAAGAGAGGGGAGCGAGGGAGGGCTGGAGGAAGGAAGAAAGGAAGGAAGGAAGGAAGGAAGGAAGGACAATGATTGGAAACTAATCAAAGTGAGAAGCAACTTGGAATGAAGGAGAAACTCCCTGGTACAGTTAGGACAATTAACCAGTGGAACAGCTTGCCTCCAGAAGTTGTGGGTGCTCCATCAATGCAGGTTTTTAAGAAGAGACTGAGCAACCATTTGTCTGAAATGCTGTAGCGGGTTGCCTGCATGAACAGGGGGTTGGACTTAGAAGTCCTCCAAGGTCCCTTCCAACTCTGTTTTTCTATATTCTCCTGAATACAGAGTCCTAGGAGAACGAGTAGGACATATGGGTGAGGGGAACCATTACCTTTTTAGCTGGACCCGATCAGCTAGGGATGATTTGCAAATTGTAGAGGTCTGTGACTTTAATGGCATAGATTCTCCCTTTAAAAAATGTGTGAGATTTGTAGGTTTCATAGTTAATATGGACCAATCTTGTGTCAGTCAAATGCTCAGAAGCTGCCATCATAAGATTTATCTTTAAGTATCAATAATTAAAGAGTGGGAAGCAAGACCCTCTCTGCTATTCAATTGATGTTATAATAAAATGAATCCCAAATTAGTTCATTTGATATTCCAATAGCTCTGGCTAAGTGCTCCTACAAAATGTTCACTAATGTTGCATTAATTAAAACGAACCTCATTATTTTAAAGTGCTATCAAAGCCTCTTATCCAAGGATGGAAGATGATCATAAAATTTAGCTTAAAAAGTTTTAGAAAGCAAAAAAAAAAAAGGCCTAACCTAGTTGTGTGTTAAACTTGGCTTAGCATATCTGCTAAGGGCTTTATTCAGTTTTTCTGTTTAGAGTTTGGAATGAAAACCGTGGCTTTCTGGAGGTTTTCTGGAAGTTGGAAGACATTTCTCGTAAAGTTCATATATCCGAAAGTCTATGGAGATTCTCAGCCATCCAGGTCATGGTTGTCCCAAAGTTGCTTTTTCAAGAGAAAAACTAGACTTTCTGGTTTTTCTTTGAAGAGGTCTCACCCAAGAAGCTTTTTGGGTTCTGATTGAATGGTGGAGAATGGAAGGAAGAACATCCAGACACAAAATAGCTGAGAAAGATAGCTGAAGAAGCTTCTTGGATGAGAAGCAAAACCTCTTCAAAGAAAATTGGGAAAGTCCAGTGGCCTCTTCCAAAAGCATCTTCGGGACTCCTGACTTCGATTTACTTCCATTTCTTCTCTACCTGGAATGTTGATCTTCTGTTGAGACATGGGACATTCCTACACCTCCACTGTTTTGGTCCCTTTCATCCTCTGTAGGTAGTTCATAGTATCAGGTGAATTAATGTCCTTCCATGTTGCCAATTAATCCTCCTATCAAGGGGTCAACACAAAAGGCCCTACACATCAGCCATCTGGCTCCATGCCCCATTCTTGTTCTTTCCATGGTGAGGGAAGACAATTGAATCTTAACGCAACCCATTGGGTATCAGAACCATTCTGTTATGTGACTATGTAAGAAGTAAGGTAAAAAGTTCCTCTTCCACATATGTGCCGATTTCTGTAACCCAGTGATGAAAGAAATGTCCTTCTGGGTTCAGCTCCAAGTGNCCTATGAAGCGGTATATAAATCTAACTGCTATTGCTATTGCTATTGCTATGTTCACCAAGCCAAGCCACGCCCACCAAGCCATGCCCACAGAACCAGCAGTAAAAAATATTGAATCCCACCTCTGATTTCTATCCCACCGCCCTAATCTCCTTTTCCAGCTCCGTTCTTCTATGCAGGGCAACAGAAGAAGACCCAGCTGATCAGCTGGGACTTGGGAGGCAACGAATAGATGAGGGCAGGGCCAGCCAGAGGTGGTATTTGCTGGTTCTCTGAACTACTCAAAATTTCCGCTACCGGTTCTCTAGAACTGGTCAGAACCTGCTGAATCCCACCTCTGATTCTGACGCAAGCAAGACATTTTGAATGGCTGGCTTGCATCCTCTGTGAAAATCAATTCAGAAGAATTGTAATTAGAAGGAGTGTTGAAATATAGGTAGTGACGTCAACTTACAACTCATTCATTTAGCAACCATTTATATTTGGCCCTGCATTCTACAACACATAACAGAATCGCAGAGTTGGAAGGGACTTTGGAGGTCTTCTAGTCCAACCTCCTGCTCGAACAGAAAACCCTGTACCCTTTCAGAAAAAACAGTTGTCCAATCTCTTCTTTGAAAACTCCAGTGTTGGACCAAAGGTGCTTTTCCAAGCGGCAAGTGGACTTTCTGATTTTTCTTTGAAGACATTTTGTTTCTCATCCTGGAAGCTCCTTCAGCTTCTTCTTGAATGAGAAGCGAAACGTCTTCAAAGAAAATCCAGAAAAACCCAGTTGCCTCTTGAAAAAGCACCTTTGGGACAACCATGACCTGGATGATGAAGGATATCCATAGACTCCAGGGTCTGGTGATTACCTTTAAAGCCCTAC